GGCTCTGCCGGCTTCTGGCTGCCCACGGCGCCGACATCGATGCCCGGGATGAGATGAGGAGGAGCCCCTTGCACAAGGCGTGCGGGGCCGCCAACGCCGACCTGGCGCGCTTCCTGCTGCGGCGCGGGGCCGACGTCAACGCCATCGACTACGACGGCGTCTCCCCGCTGGGCTGCGCGCTGCAGAGCGCAGCCTTCAAGAAGGAGCTGAGGCCTCACCTCACCGTCCAGCTGCTGCTCAACCACGGCTCCCATGGCCCCCCGCCTTCGTCAAGGTACCCACCCCAAAACAGCCCCTGCGCCTTCCCTCGCACCCGGGATTTTGCAATCGGGGTCAGGGTGCTTTGGGAAATAATAAGCCGGGGGGCTGGGAGAATCTGGGAGAGCCTCCTGGTCCAAGGAGGGAGAAGGGACCATGGCATCAGCGTTGGCCGTGCTGCTGGGAAGGATGGAAATGAAAACATCCGCGCGGGGCGGCAGGGTGAAGGGCAGGATAGAGCCAGCACGGGCAGGAGGGACCAGCAAGGAGCGTTTTTTCCTGCCCAGGGATGTCAAGAGACAGGCTTGGAACATCAGCCGTCAGTGCAGCCGCCTTATGGCTCTGCGTTTCATTGATTTTACATCAAACAATAAAGAAAATATTATCCTGGCTTATCACACGCAAGCCAAAAATGTAAATAACAAGCAAGGGCCGCATCCAGATGAAGCAGCACAGCAAAGCAGGTCTTCCTACCACTTCACAGCTGGAGAAAGATCTCCAAAGCATGCCAGGGCAAACCCTACACCTGCCTCATACTGACACGGGACCATCCCAGCCTGGACCGTGATGGGATGGGATGAGTCCCGGCTGCAGCACATGGATGCTCTGCCCCTCTGGGTCATGCACCTCCATCTGAACCGTCTCTGTTGCCCACCACTAGGTGCTGAAGTCCTGTGCAGCCGTGCCGGAGATCATCGAAGTCCTCTTCAACTCCTACGCGCAAATCCCTATCTCCGAAAAATGGGCTGAGGCCGTGCCGGAGGAGGTGTTCCAGGTGAGATGGTGCTGGCAGTTTGGTAGGCACAGCTGAGCCCCAAGGAGGGGAGTTCTACCCACCAAGAGGTTTTTTTCCTCACCCAAACTTCACTCGGGAGGGGAAAAAAAAAAAATAGGAATAGTCCTCAGAGTACCGCCACACACTCACTTCATCTCAGCAGCTTTGCAGCCCTTTAGCTCCATCACCACCAAACCCCCCATACCCACCCCTGGCTGGCAATAAAATACAATCCCAGCATCTGGAAGCGACCCTGGCACCAGACCACTGCGCGGCAGGAGGCCACATCACCGATTTTGGCTTCCAAAAGCTTGTCCCAGACATGCAACTGGTACGGCCAGCCCGCTCCTGCGTGGTCCCAGCCGGCCACCTTGCCCCCGCAGGTCTGCGGATAACTTGGCTGTGAGGTGGGGGGCAGCTGCTGAAATTCAAATAAAGCCCTTCAGCACGTTCTTGGAGACGGGAGAAATTATTTTTATGCCAAGCTAAGGAAAGGTTGAGGCTGCACAGACCGATCCTGCTTCGTTTCCCAGTCTCAGAGACAAGCAGGTCTCTTCCACGTCAGCTCCGAGGCTTTCTGCAGGGCTGCTGCTGCCGGTGGGCAGGAGAGCACCCTCCCCAAGCACCACCCATGGCCAGGCTGGCTTTCTTCACGTGTGCTTCCACAGGAGAATTCCTCATCCAGCCTTCATTGGCAGGAGCCGTGTCAGTGCACAGACCCCCTAACCCACGGGCAAACATCGCCAAGGGGTCTCTTACCTCCTCCCTTTAGACCTTCATCTCAAAAGTCCCTCTGGCTTATTTGGCTTAATCAGGAAAAAAATAAAACCAGCTGATATTCCATGATTTTCCTTTTTTCTCTCCCCGTCTCCCCTTGCAGCAACACCAGCTATTCTACGAGTCCTTTTTCCGGCTGGCGGGCACAGTCCGGTGCCTGCAACATTTATGCCGCTCCACCATTCGGAAAAAGTTTGGCAGCAAATGCCATTGCCTTATCCCATTGCTGCCTGTTCCCAAACCTCTGCGGGATTACCTGCTGCTGGATCCCGAAGGAATCGTGCTTTGAAGGGCCGACAGGAGCCGGCCCAGGTCTGCCCCCAGCCTTCCCCTGCTCATCGGCCCTCGGTGGAACACAGCAACATCCATTGCTGTCAGCCGAGCAAGGAGCACCGGTTTTGGTGATAGATGGTTGTTTTCCAGGGATTTATAACGTAACTAAAATGTGCTTTCGGCTGTAACTCCGTATAGATTTTTTTTTTTCATAATTGTGCTTTAAATAGATTATAAAGAGCAATAAAATGATTTACAAGCGTGCTGCAGATACGAATAACGCTCGTTACAGAGGAGCTCTGCAAAGCGGTGGGGCTCCTCAGGTGCTTGGAGGAGAGCACCTGCGGCAGATGACTAAAGCCAGCCCACCTGGGCATCAAATCCCCCCTGGACAAATCTGCCCTGGGAGTGGCACAAGCAGAATTGGGGCCAGAGGTGCATTGTGGAAGCATTGCACAGGGCACAATATCCAATGGCATTAATACAGACCGTGAAAGAGATGGAAAAATCCGTTTTTTTGATGTAGAAGCCACCAGGAAAGAACTGGACCAGGGGCAGGAGGTGACACTCTCATATTTCTCCCAGCTGCCCACAGTCCCATGGATGCACCAGCACCTCCTGTGCCCATCACCACTCCGAGCCTGGCACGCAGAAGGGCTGGAAAAACCCAGTGGCAACCCAAAGTGAAGGAGTTTGGGCTTTCTTTTCCCACAGTGACTCAACAAAAGGTACCGGGAGGAGCGAGGATTTGTTTTCCCAGGCCCTCAGGCTCCCCAAATTAATTTCTGCTGAACCAAAGCAAGCACACACGCGTGCCTCCTCCTTGGCAGAACAGCTGCCCTTGTGCCAGCGGCTCTGCCACAGCCCTCGCCAAATCGTTCCGCTGCTTTATTACACTCCCTGTTTAAACACGTATCCGGAAATAAATCAGCCTTTTTGCTGTGTTTGACCGGACTTCGCACCGGCACCCCGCTGCTGTGGGTGACGCGGTCGATGTGCGCGGGATGCAGGCAGCATCCCCAGCGCCCACGGAGCAGGGAGGGTTGGAAACGGGGAATTCCCATGTGTACCCCAAGGGGGGTTGATTTGGGGAGAGAAGAGCCCCTTCCAGTGGTAGCCAGCTGTGCAAGGGCGTCGCCAGGCCCCCCCATCTTCAGCACCTGAGCAAAAGCTGTGTGTCTTAGATTAATTCTTATTTCACAATTCTATAATTACAAATTATATCCCAGGTGAAGCATTTGCTGCCCTGTCCCACCACGGGAACGCCCCATGCCAAACCTCCGTGATGCCTTGAGATCCAGCACTTTGTGACTTCACTGGCTGTTTTCCTTTATGGTTCGTTTCAGTGGCCAGAACGGGGCGGGGGGGGTTGGAATTAAAGGGGATTTAGGGAAAACCCCTCCTGGCTGAGTCACTGCTG